CTGAATCGCCTCGTCCTCGGCTGATGTTCGTTCAGTTTTAGAGGTCGACACGGGCGTCTCTATCGTCTCAATCGCCTCGTCCTCGGCTGATGTTCGTTCAGTTTTAGATGTCGACACGGGCGTCTCTATCGTCTGAATCGCCTCGTCCTCGGCTGATGTTCGTTCAGTTTTAGAGGTCGACACGGGCGTCTCTGTCGTCTCAATCGCCTCGTCCTCGGCTGATGTTCGTTCAGTCTTAGAGGTCGACACGGGCGTCTCTGTCGTCTCAATCGCATCGTCCTCGGCTGATGTTCGTTCAGTCTTAGAGGTCGACACGGGCGTCTCTGTCGTCTCTATCACCTCGTCCTCGGCTGATGTTCGTTCAGTCTTAGAGGTCGACACGGGCGTCTCTGTCGTCTCAATCGCATCGTCCTCGGCTGATGTTCGTTCAGTCTTAGAGGTCGACACGGGCGTCTCTGTCGTCTCTATCGCCTCGTCCTCGGCTGATGTTCGTTCAGTCTTAGAGGTCGACACGGGCGTCTCTATCGTCTGAATCGCCTCGTCCTCGGCTGATGTTCGTTCAGTCTTAGAGGTCGACACGGGCGTCTCTGTCGTCTCTATCGCCTCGTCCTCGGCTGATGTTCGTTCAGTCTTAGAGGTCGACACGGGCGTCTCTGTCGCCTCTATCGCCTCGTCCTCGGCTGATGTTCGTTCAGTCTTAGAGGTCGACACGGGCGTCTCTGTCGTCTCTATCACCTCGTCCTCGGCTGATGTTCGTTCAGTTAAAGCAGCGTTGGAGTTCGACACGGTCGACTGTCACGGTCGAGATCTACTGTTTATATCTGTGATCAGAACTTTGTACTTCACTGAGCAAGTGCAAAGTTCAGTTTGTTGATCCTGACTCATTAAAGTTGTCGGTTTGATTCCTGCCGTGTGTCCTCGGGCAAGACGCTCCACTTTTACTTTTTAACTTGTCTCAAATTGGAAATGTTTAAATATTAATCTTTAGTGTTAAAGATGCATTATGTAACTTTTCTTGTGATTTTTTTTTTCTTGTAATTGATCCACAAGGGAAATTATTTGAATATAAAAACAAAAAGAGAAAAAAAAAAATCTACAAGAGTGGCAAAAAAAGATGGCAAAATAATTCATAATTATATAAATGTATAATAAATGTATATGTACAAGTCAAAATAAATTAGAATAATAAGTAATAAAAAAGGGGCTGCTTCAGGAGTTGTTCAAGGCTCCAGTTCAGAAAGAAAAAATATATATATATGTATACATATATGTATAATATATATATTTATGTGTGTGTGTGTGTGTGTATATATATATATATATATATAATATTATTATTAACAGCCTTAACAGATAAAAGCTCAGAATTGACCCTCATCGTGTCAGTTTTGTTTCTAAATAAACAGTGATTCACGGGAACATAAACTGTATTTTCAACAATCAGATTTTAAAAGAATCAACTGTTCTAGTTTGAGTCTCTAGTGCCACTCCTCACTGTAAAGACTTAGAATATTCCATTGTATGGCTTTAAACATAAAAATAAATAAAAAATAATATCAATAGAAAAGTGACATAATGCATCTTTTAAATCCAGAATAAACTTGATGGTCCCACAGTCCACAGACTCTCTCCTCTGTCGCCCTCTGCTGTCCAGTTTAGTCTCCTCCTTTTGCCTGTGTCCTTCATCACAAAACCCATGGGAAATGATGTCACTGATTTTGGCTGCTCCTCCTCATCCTCTTCTTCCTCTTCCTCCTCCTCATCCTCCTCATCCTCTTCATCCTCATCCTCCTCCTCTTCCTCCTCCTCATCGTCGTGTTTCACAGGTCTGCTCTGCTTTCGCCGCTTGTGTGATGTGAAATCAAAATGCACCGGCCATTTTGAGGACTTTGAGTCTTTTTGGTTCAGTCCTTTGCACAAACTCACAACCAACAGAACTGGTTTGGTCCTGGTTTAGTCCTGTTTTTAGTCTTGGTTTAGTCCTGTTTTTAGTCCTGGTTTAGTCCTGTTTCAGTCTTGGTTTAGACCTGGTTTAGACCTGGTTTGGTCCAGGTTTGGTCCTGGTTTGGTCCTGGTTTGAGCTCAGTTTAGCTCTGATGTACACTTGGTTTGAGTTTTAGGTCTAGTCCTGGTTTAGTGTTGGTCCAGTCCAGGTTTAGATCCAGGTTTAGTTCCAATTCTCATGTGGTATGAAAGGGGTGAACACATTTAGCACTGAACCAGGACTAGACCGGGTCTTAACCAGGGTCTTAACCAGGGTCTTAACCAGGGTCTTAACCAGGGACTGAACCAGGACCGTACCAGGACTGAAGCAGGGACAGCTCCGTGGAGACAAACAGATGGTCTCTCATGGGAAAAGTTACACAGTGCATCTTTAAAGGTCCCGTAATCCTCTGCTCTCTGATCTGTTTCCTCGTCACAGACCTGGACTTGTGTTTTGTTTCATTCACACGTTTAACACAAACCTGCACATTTGGGTTCGTCTTTCAAAACAGAAAACACTCTGTTCCACCTTGTGATGTCATTGTGGTTCTGAACTCCACACAGCTTCACTAGAATCATGTGGATCATTTCAGCTCTGGAGTTTCTGATCTCTACTGAACTAAAGGTAAAAGGTGTTGTCAACATGAGAAATTATTCGGTCCGTTTTAAGTCTGAGCTAAGTTCTGGTCCTGTCTTGGTCCAGAGCCGGTCTAGAGCTGGTCTAGTCTCAGTACTTTCACGGCGACAGCACTTGGACCAGATGCTCTCAGTTTGCTTCATTTTTGTTTTTGTGAAAGCTTCAATCGCGCTCAGATCTGCACGAAATTAAACGGACCGAGACCTCAGAAAAGTGGAGGTCTCGGTCCGTTAGACTCCGCAAAAAATGCCAAACCCTAGGAGTGGGCGATATGTCGATATTTTTAATGTATCGAGATATTTTTTAAACTTGATATGGATTCTGGATTCTGGATATAATGATTATATTCAATTCTGATTTCGCCGCTTCGCTTGTTCGTCTTCTCCGTCGTCGCCTCCCTGATTTTGCTGCTTGTGTCTCTTTCACTATCGCCATGAACGCCCAAAGTTGGTGCCAGTGAAAAACTTCTAGCACAGGGGTGGGCACAAAGGGTTCTAAAATTTGTCTGAAGGGCCGGACAGGAGCAGATGGATTTTTATTTTTTAATTATAACTAACAGTTTCTATTTTAAAGCACTGAAAGTTCTGTTCTCCTTCAGGATATTATCATCATCACTCTCCTCCTGACTGTCTTTATTTAAAAAATGAGAGTTATTTTTCCTGTACAGATATTGAGATATATATCGTTTATCGAGATATAACAAAATATATCCAGATATATTTTTTGCTCCATATCTCCCAGCCCTGTGCCAAACTCTGGTGCGGTCCCTCTGGTGAGAACGCCGACTCGGGTCCAAACCGTCCGTACCCCGAGGAGGGGCTCCATGGGAAGGCCAACGTCTTGTCTCGGTTCTAACAGATCTGGTGTCCAGGAGCTTCAACGTCCTCGAGCCTCGTGCAGTTGGACCAGTTTTGTGTCAGATGTGAAAAGACTGGTCCTGCTTTAGTCCTCGACGAGTCCTGGTTCAGCCCTGGTTCTGTACTGGCCTAGTCTTGGTCTAGTCCAGGGGTGGTCAATACGTCGATCATGATCTACCAGTCGATCCCCAAGTTAATGTGGGTAGATCGCAGTGTCATAGTACTCGTCTCGGACTCGATCGCGTTTGGACTCGGTCTTGTCTCTCACTCGAGGTCTGACACTCAACAAGTGTGATCATATTTCATTCCGGCCGCTGCTGTTGGTAATAAACTTGTAGCGGGTGCAGGAGCGTGTGGGGCGTCTCAGTGCAGCCTGTGCGCTCATTTGAAACCCGCGGAGACTCTACGGCGCATCACAAACACACACGCTCCCTATGCACGGCTCGTCTGCGACAGCGTGTGCCCTCGTGTACCAGCGTGCATCACAGGGCAGGTTCAACTTCCTAAACATCCTACCTGTCCACCTGCCTCACGTCAGCACGCCGCCCCTCGCCTTTTCACGCTCTCGCTCCTTCCTGCGTACAGCCAACACAAGCCCCTCCCACAGTGCGGCTGATTAGAAGAGCAAGACCAAACGTGAAGCAAAAACTATTCTAAATTTATGTTAGTGTTGACACAGAGGAGCCTACAGCACAGAACAGATCTACTGCGACATGTGGTTGAAGTTTTCTTAATAAAAGTGCACAAATGCATCTGTATTTGTCACTGTGTGCGTTCAGTAAATGTGCAAAGGCTGTTAAATCTCACTGCAAAAACAGTAAGAAAATGTAACTCCAGTTAGGAACTTGAAAAAAACAGTTTTACAAATCCAGACCCATTTCTTCATTTTTTTTTTTCAGTTTTGTGTAAAGTGCCAGAGGAAGTTCTCTTAAAGAAGAGGTTCTCAAACTGTGGGTGAGGGTCCAAAAAATGGGCACAGAGTGTTTCAGTGCAGTTTGTTTGACTTTGTATTAGGTCGATCATTTTGACATGGTCATTTTGTAAGTAGCTCACATGATGAAAAAGTGTGAGCACCTCTGGTCTAATCCTCTTTTATGTAGCTGCTAACTCCTACCTAAACTACTACCTCATGACATCACAAGCTGGAACAGAACATTTTGAGCTTTGGAGATGTAAACAGACTAAAAGTAAAGATTTATTGAAACGCGTGAATGAAACAAAACACAAGTCCAGGTTTGTTTTTGAGGAGGAAACAACATCTGAACACTACTTAAACCTCACAGGAGTCAGGTCTGTGTGATATTTGACGTTTATTTTGTGTTTAAATTATTTTTAGCCACAGTTCTAGTTAAACTCCACACGTCCCTTTAGCCGTTCTCTGTCCTCTTCACTCATCTTCTTTACCCAACGTTTCCCGAGTTTCCCGCCTCTTCTTTAATTAAAAAACCCGTAGTCCAACACTTTTCCCTGTGGCACAAAACTGATTGAGGATGACTGGTTCTTTCCTGGCTGCTCCGATCCAGCTCTGGCCTCTCGGCACCAGGAGTTGGAGGAGGAACTGGCCCAGAGTCGAGGCCTGAGTCCGGCCAAAGGATCCGGGAAGTCTGGACGCGCCGCCGAGAGGAGCCTGCAGGTCAGTGGAGCTCGGGAACCTCTCGATCTCCGTTTTATTTTCTGTTGATTCTAGTGCTGTTTTGTCGTAGTACAAATGATTAAAGTCTCTGTACCAGATTTTTACCGTCTTAAAATGATGAAAACCAGAACTAGTTCCTTTTTAAACAGTTTGCAGTGGTCCAAAGTCCTTCCTCACTTCCTGATTATTGACAATTAAATGCTTTATAATTGGATGATTTATTTTGTATAAGCAGCTCGTTCTAGTCAAATACACGGAAAAACATCAGGTACAGTGTCTTTAAGATCATGTGTAGAACTTAGGCTCCGTTCAGACTGCAGCCTGAAGTGACCCAAGTCTGATTTTTTCTTTCCTATCCTCCTGTATCTGATATTTTAATGACACAGATCCGATTTTTCAAATGTGACCCGGGCCACTTGGATACGTGCTCCTAAAACCCACACATATACAATCTTTGGACAGGCCACTTCAGTCTGAACGTCCAGGTCACATGTCATCAACAAGCGACAAACGTCACTTTTCTGCGCTGAAGTCGGTGGAAACCAGTCTGATTCATGAGCCGGTTTCACTTGGTGTAAACCGTGTGAACTCGCAGCGTTAGGATTCTTTCACTCGACAGGAGGCGGGGACTTTTTTTATTTAACCAATCGCTGCTGTTTGTTCGTGACGTTTGTAATGCTCCAAATCCTGTAGGAAGAAGAACAACAACGTCTTTCCCCTTGATAAAATTCACCAAACATTCTCTTTGTTCCGGCTCCTCGGGGGATCTGGGGAATCGTCGCCAACACAGAATGTCTGTCTTCGTTTACATCCATCTCCACACTTTGTTTACTGTTGTGCTGTTCCACAGAAGAGACACAGACGCCACAAGTTCGACATCATGGCTTCACAGCTCGCAGCTGATTGGCCAGTGCGCCGTCTACAACTTCCGGGGTTTTTGCAAATGTCTAGTGTGTTCTGATTCCTGACATACTCACCGGAGAGAAATAAAATTGAGCGGAGACACTAGGGGGCGCCAGCCTGGCCAGGTGAAAACTGGAAGAAAACCACAACCAGGGTAGACGACAACGCAAGAGAATTTTCAGGCTCTGAAGGCTCAGAGTCTCGTCAGTGGAGGGAAAGTAATGTTAGCAAGTTTATTATTTGTGGGGATCGCTGTATTCAGGCCAAATTGGATTGGTCTGGGCAGTTTTTGAAGTGATTGCCAAAGAAATGTCCGAGTGCGGCTGCAGACGGACCTGGCTCCAACGTCAGCGAAAAATAAAGAGTCTGTGAAACAAATACAAGGAGGATAAAGACTCAAACAAACGAAGCGGCCGTGGACGTGCGACCTGAACATTTTGCCAACAACTGGACCGTGTTTTGGGAGACAAGCCCAGAGTTTAGTCGACTTCCGTAAACACTGAGCACGCTCGATGTGTTTGACGTCGTTGTGTCTCCAGTGCACATGCGGGACACATCTGGAGTGTTTAAAGTTCACACTGGAGTCACATACAAGTCGCTTTTAACTGGAAATGTGAACGATCCTGCAAAAAAAAAAAAAAAAAAAATTTCACAAAAAAATCAAAATTCAGGATTCTGCAGTCTGAACGTAGCCTAAGTAACATTTTTATACCTTATTGAACTTTGTAAAATGTGTATTTCCCCAGAGAATTTTTCTGTGAAACCCCTGGTCGTTTTTTCAGATTAGGCCAAATTTTCTGTTCATGATTATGTGATGTTATTTCAGTCCAATCAGGTTCATTTGGTTTTCTGATAATTTATGTTCTTAGGTTCTTTTTTCCAGACCAAGAGTTTGTTCTGTTCCCTGCTCCTCTTCCTCAGAGTCTCGTGATGTTTCTGTATCGTGTCCCTCAGATGATTTAAACAGGTTTCGGCGGGACGACAGCGCCACCTGCAGACCCACTTCCTCACGACAGAATCCCGAAAATATACGGAAATACGAAAGCGTGCTCACGGAGAGATAAACCGGGACGAGGGGCTTTTTTACTCTCACCCACTTGGAATTCTGTCCTGAGGAAGTCTGAGGCTACGTTCAGTCTGCACCTGAAGTGACCCAAATCTGATTTTTTGTCTCTATGTTCCTGTATCTGATCTTTTAATGTGAGTCTGAACCACACAGATCTGATTTTTTCCCAGGACACTTGGATCTGTGCTCCTGAAACTGATCCATATCTGATCTTTTGACATGTGACTTCAGTGTGAACAGTCAGGTCACATTCATCCACCTACATGTCATCAGCAAGACACAAACGTCACTATTCTGCACTGAAGTAGGAGAAAACTGTTCATGATCCATGTGACTGAAGTGAAGCACATCTCCACTCACCACAAAACACCACCACCAAAAACCTGGTCCTTCTCCTTCTCAATCTCCTCCTTAAAACAAGTCAGTTGTTCATGTTGTGGCTCCGGTACGAGAGGAACTTTAAAATCTCCAGGTGCTCGATGCTGCGTCCATGTTTGTTCAACTTGTGTAAACACAGAGACGCTCGCTGCGGTTGACGTCGTCGTGTCTCCAGTGTCACATGTGGGACACTTTTGGACCGTTTAATGTTCACACTGGAGTCACATACAAGTCACATTTAACTGGAAACGTGAACGAACTCACAAAAACATCAGATTTCACAAAAAAAATCAGAATTGAGCGTTAAGCCCTGCAGTCTGAACGTAGCCAGAGATGGAACTAATCTCAGAGTTCTAATCTCGAGAATCTAAAAAATAATCATAGAGTAGTTTTTGTTGCTTTGTTTTTGTTCTATTTGTAAATAGAAAACCACTGAAATCCTTGTTGTGATGTTGTGATGATCTCTGATGTTTTCCCAGGAGGACTTTGAGCTGGACGGCCACGCCCCTCTGTTCCCCACCCCCCGCAGCCCCCCCGACAGCGCCGCCCTGGTGGAGATGGAGGGAGAGAACATGGGAGGTTGGTGGCCCGAGTTCAGTTCCCCAGACCCAGGTTTGGTCCCAGTCTTTACTCTGGCATGCACTTGACTCCACCACATGGTCTTAACGTGGTCCTCACATGGGTCCTCACACGGGTCCTCACACGGGTCCTCACACGGGTCCTCACACGGGTCCTCACGGGTCCTCACACGGGTCCTCACACGGGTCCTCACACGGGTCCTCACCGTCTGTGGGAAACTCCATTCACTTTTGGTTTGGGCTGTTTTACCCGGCGCCTCTAAACCTCAGCTCTGGGGTTTGTCATTAACATTTCCAGAGGTGGGTAGAAGAAAAACAAAAGAACAAAAATTATTTCCCCAAATTTCAAAGACCTGAAAATCATGTAAATAAATGTTTGTATTTCATCATATCTTGTGTTATTCCATCTTTGAACTGTTGATGAAGGGACAGGATTAAAAAAAAAAAAGTATTTAAAATGATAAAAATGTTCTTGGAAGGACTGACATATTTTATAGAAATAGTTTCTTTCATTTTGAAGTAATATTAAAATATTCAGAAGAAAAAAGTGACAAATGATGTAAAATCCTGCACCTTCTACTTGTTTGTACAATTTTCCCTCCATTACTTTTCCCTCCGTTACCATGAACTTTCTTAATAAAAAATCTCATGAGTCAAAAAGTCAGAGGTTTTTGAACCTAATCTTGTACCATATGGTAGAAAACTATATGAAGCAAATATTCAAACCAGTTTGTTAAGGATATGGAAGTGAGAACCAAGAGTTATCACTGTTTGGATTTACTGACCAAAAAGTGCTGCATATTTCATTCCCTCTGTTACCGACATGAGTTTTTACATTTTTTGTCTTGAACTTGAAAGAATCTCACAGGTTTAACTTGACCCTGTTGGAGTGTAACTCTTTCCTACATTCTGATACTTTACTTATTTCAATAGTCCCTCTAGTTTCTGAATAAGAGACATTTGAATGTCAAAAATCTGACCCTGTTTCCCTCCGTTACCCCATGTATATGTGTGTATATATGTATGTGGATAAAACTAGAATTGATTAATAAAAATAAATAAATAATAATCCAGAGTGAATAATAGTGCAGAAAATACGGTAATAACATAATTAATCGTCAGACCAAATGAACCCGATTGGACTCGTTCTAAACACATTCAGTTGAGGTTTTGCTCTGTCCTGTCACTCGGACTTTTCTAGAATCACCTGTGAAAAATTAGGATCAAGTTTCGTAATCGTTTTCGCATTAATTAACATCTGAGTTTCTTTACTTTTGCCAACCGTACTACCCACCTTTGAATATTCCATTTGCAAAGCTTCACTACATTTGGGAATTTGCTTCGTCTGGTTTAATTTTTGTCTTTTAAAAGCATCAGCAAACAGTTTATTATTTTATTGCTTAATTCTTGTATTTTAAATCCAGATTAAACCAGATGAAGTCATGTTTTTGCGCCCGTTTGTGCATATTTGATATTTTGTGTTTGTGTTGGGTCATCTGCATGCTGGTGTAAACTGGTTCTGTTTAAGGGTCGTTCAGTGTAATTCAGTGTCTGTGCTGTTGGTGGCGCTCTGTGGTAAGTTTTGGCTTTTTTCAAATTATTTTGCATGAATGGCTGCGCATTATTTGAGCGTCTGCGTGTGCGGTTTTCGGGCCGTGTTCGTGTTCAGTCCGTGTGTCGTTTGTTCATTTTTCAAAATCAAACCAAAAATAAGAAAACGTGGGAAAAAAAGCGAATATTTTCTTCATTATTTGTCTCCAAAACCAAAAAAAAAAAAAAAGATAATGATTCGTTTTCAGTTTCCGTAACTTAAACTGCGACGCCGCATACAAACTGAACCAGGACTGAACCAGGTCTGAACCAGGACTGAACCAGGTCTAAACCGGGACTAAAACAGGTCTAAACCGGGACTAAACCGGGACTAAACCGGGACTAAACCAGGACTAAACCAGGACTAAAACAGGACCGAACCAGGACTAAAACAGGACCAAACCAGGTCTAAACCAGGACTAAAACAGACTGAACCAGGACTAAACCAAGACTAAACCTGTCTCAGTCCTGGTCCTGGTCTCTGTCTCAGTCCTGGTCTTGGTCTCAGTCCTGATCACCCGACAATCTACGTTGGCACACCTCTGGGCCTGTCCCGACACTCAGGCCTGGTTTAGATCTGGTTTAGTCCTGGTTTAGACCTGGTTCAGTCCCTTATCCGTTTTTTCCATTTTTCATTTAAACACAAAATCGAAAAATGAAAAATCAAATTGTGATCTGTTTTTTCATTTTTGTTTTGGAGACAAATAATGAAGAAAATTATTATTTTTTGTTTTGTTTTGTTTGTTTCTTATTTTTTGGTTTTATTTTGAAAATCGAAGGACACTCGGATCATGTTCCCACTTTATTCCTCGAGTTGAACATGAACGGACACAATTAGCAAATCTCAAAGACCGCAGTTATTTAAAGCTGCACTGTGTAACTTTTCTGGTGGAGGGCGCGTCAAGGACCCAAACAGACCAAGATCCAGGTCAGATCTGTGGAGAGGCGACCCCGCTCACCGACCGAACGCCTGCTTTTCTAGGTGTTTTTGAGCTTAAGTGAATAAATGTAAATTCAAGCTGTTTAAAGTCACACTGTGGAACATTCCAGGCAGAGCAGTGACGTCTCCATGGAGACAAGCAACCGAAAAGTTACACAGTGCAGCTTTAAGCGACCAAACCTCCCGTCAAAGCCTCAGAGGCTGAACAGGGCCGGCCTGGTCAGAACGTGGATCGTTGTGTCCTTGGGCAAGACACTTCACACACATTGCCCCGTATGAATGAAGTGTGTGTGTGTGTGTGTGTGTGTGTCTCTTCTGTCAGTCCCAGGGCAGCTGTGGCTACCACACATCGACCGATATGTTTTTTTTTTTCATGGCCAATATAATTGGTTAGAACGGCTGATGAAATTTGCCGATATTTGGGGCCGATTTTAATTATTTTCCCCAAACTATGTAAGTTAAATTCACCCCAAGCTCTTTTTTTTATTTTTTATTTTTTTACCACAGTCCTGTAGGAGAGTGTTCTCTCCATTTCTCTTTGTATGAAAGTCTTACTCTTACTAGTCTTACTCACTTTGTATTTTTTAGGCAGATCGACCAAAACAAAATCTGGGCCTATGCTGGAGGTTTAAGGCTGATAACGATACACTAAAAAGTCCAAATATCGGTTCGATATATCGGTCTATCTCTATGGTTGCAGTAGTTTGTTACGAGAGCAGAGTGAATGAATAATGTACAAAATTTAAATCGATTTGGAGCGTCTGTTCTGTGTCCTGTCTCAGGTGGTCCTCTTTAACCCTGTGTCCTGTCTCAGGTGGTCCTCTTTAACCCTGTGTCCTGTCTCAGGTGGTCCTCTTTAACCCTGTGTCCTGTCTCAGGTGGTCCTCTTTAACCCTCTGTCCTGTCTCAGGTGGTCCTCTTTAACCCTGTGTCCTGTCTCAGGTGGTCCTCTTTAACCCTGTGTCTGTCCTGTCTCAGGTGGTCCTCTTTAACCCTGTCCTGTCTCAGGTGGTCCTCTTTAACCCTGTTCCTGTCTCAGGTGGTCCTCTTTAACCCTGTGTCCTGTCTCAGGTGGTCCTCTTTAACCCTGTGTCCTGTCTCAGGTGGTCCTCTTTAACCCTGTGTCCTGTCTCAGGTGGTCCTCTTTAACCCTGTGTCCTGTCTCAGGTGGTCCTCTTTAACCCTCTGTCCTGTCTCAGGTGGTCCTCTTTAACCCTGTGTCCTGTCTCAGGTGGTCCTCTTTAACCCTGTGTCCTGTCTCAGGTGGTCCTCTTTAACCCTCTGTCCTGTCTCAGGTGGTCCTCTTTAACCCTCTGTCCTGTCTCAGGTGGTCTGCGGTCGGTGGTGGAGGAGTTGGAGCTGGAGAGGAACCAGCTGCAGGAGCAGATCCTGAGTCTAGAGGAACGCTGCCAGGACCTGGAGGACAGACTCCAACTGCAGGCGCGGATAGAAACCCTACAGGTGCTCAGATCTATGATACTGTAACTACTGTAAACCCTACAGGTGCTCAGATCTATGATACTGTAACTACTGTAAACCCTACAGGTGCTCAGATCTATGATACTGTAACTACTGTAAACCCTACAGGTGCTCAGATCTATGATACTGTAACTACTGTAAACCCTACAGGTGCTCAGATACACCAGAGTATTATCTTCACATTCTTGCACCATGAAGACAAATAGAAATCTTCAAGTGTTTATGACTTTGGTTTTGTTGAGTCTCTCAATTTTTTTCTACTTCATTTCGTGAAGTAAAACCTGTTTTAAATATTAATTATAGTTTTACACAAATCAAGAAACAATCTGTGAAGTAAAGTTTAAAAATGTGTTAAATTAACGCCGCAGTTTGATATAAAAATCATATCACAACATTCCCCAGGACGAGTCTTTCAAGAGACGGTCGTCGATCATTTTAGAGTCTCACATCTGTCCAACAGTTAGACACACCGACTTTAAACTCGATTTCAACACAATGAAGGTGTTTTCTGATATTTTATCTGTCGCTGTATTTCATCAGAGGAGTTTTAAGTGTGTTTTGACGTACGGCTCCGAGCTGCTCCCTCCTCGTCCTCGTGAATCTCCTTTTAGACTTGAGCATGAGGATTAACACGACATTAACTCGCTGTGATGACACGAAGCGGCGCCTGAATCTGCTCAACGCTCCCATAATCCTCTGCTCTCTGATTTATGTTCTCATGTGGTTTCCTCGTCGCACACAGACACCTGGACTGGTGTTTTGTTTCATTATTATTTATTTTACAATTTATACATCACAAAAGTGCTCTGAGGTTCAGATTTGTAGCCGATATTTATTTTCAATTTGAAAGTTTTGAGAGAAATGCTGAATAAATTAATCGAAGACTAGAGCCTCTCGATGCTTCACTCTGAACATTTTAATGCAGAAGTCACACCGGAGAATAAGTCACAGGAAACACACAAACCAGGAAAAAAGTGCCACTTATAGTCTGAAAAATAAGATAACTAAAAAAATAATCGTTTGAATAATCGTGATTTCAATATTGACCAAAATAAGGAAAAAAGGAGCTGTTCACTTGACGTCACGAGGTGGAGCAGAGCGTTTGGAGCTTTGCAGATGTAGACAGACTAATAATAATAAATATTTACTCAAACATGTGAATGAAATAAAACACAAGTCCAGGTTTGTTTTTGACGAGGGAACGACATTCCAACGAGGTTTAAAGTTCACAGAGTTGGTTTTGTGTGATATTGCAGTGTTTCCCAAAGTTTTCTTTTTTAAAAGTCACAAATCTTCACGACCCAAGTCAGTAAACATTATTTGTGACCTTTATTGAGCGTTAATTTTTCAATTCTTCGATTCTTATTTTCCGATTTTTTTCAAATGTGACCCAGGACACTTGGATCTGTGCTCCTGAAACTGATCCATATCTGATCTTTAACATGTGACTTCAGTGTGAACAGTCAGGTCACATTCATCCACCTACACGTCATCAACAAGACACAAACGTCACTATTCTGCACTGAAGTAGGAGAAAACTGTTCATGATCCGTGTGACTGAAGTGAAGCACATCTCCACTCACCACAAAACACCACCACCAAAAACCTGGTCGTTCTCCTTCTCAATCTCCTCCTTAAAACAAGTGTCAGCTTCTCCTGGAGGCAGCCTGAACAGAGGATCTTAAGAAAGAGGCTTGGAGAGTTAGAACAGTTCTCAGACACGTCTCTTTATTAGTTCAGGCAGGTTCAGGTCTCAAGATTCAAGTTGATTCAGCAGGATTTGCCTACGCGGCGTCTCTGTGCGTCGGTCGTCCCTCGACAACGCATGTCGACGTTCCCCAACTGATGCACAGAAAAACTGGGTGCCTTTTATACCAGCAGAACTGTTGAGTTAACATCTTCATGGAAACATACACAGCAGTTTTGTCCCAACACGTGTCCCATAACAGACTGGCAGATGCTAAAGGTTGGAGACACACCCCTTATCTGTCCCATATACATTCACCGTCCATATGACATCATATCCCAACCCCATTGACACTCCAAAGTCCAGAAACATACACAACATGTTATTGTACACAGGGATTCAGTACAGGGCAAATTAACATATGAAAAACACAGGGAAGAAGCCCACACAAGTCAGTTGTTCATGTTGTGGCTCCGGTACGAGAGGAACTTTAAAATCTCCAGGTGCTCGATGCTGCGTCCATGTTTGGACAACTTGTGTAAACACAGAGACGCTCGCTGCGGTTGACGTCGTCGTGTCTCCAGTGTCACATGTGGGACACTTTTGGGCCTTTTAATGTTCACACTGGAGTCACATACAAGTCACATTTAACTGGAAATGTGAATGAGCTCGAAAAAACATTTCGGATTTCACGGATTTCAACACGTATTTCACCAAAAAAATCGGAATTGAGCGTGAAGCCCTGCAGTCTGAACGCAGCCATTGTTAGGCGTGTTCTATCAAAAATGACTAGACTCAATCAATTTAAATAACATAAATTTATTCCCTGTCCAATACAATTCTAATACAGAGCTCTGGATCAAATCGTTGTCCCTGACGGCCTCCAGCTACACAGGACTTACTTCAGGCGATCTGAACGCCCGAGTTTCCCTCAAACCAGACATATAAAACAACAGTATGAACATGCAGATAATACTGTATATTGAGCAGGTTCACGCTCTGAATCGTCCTTGAAGCGTCTTTCTTTCCTCCTTCTTTGGAGGAAGTGACAACCCCCACTCTGTAAATCACCACCAAGTCTTGTTTAGGTAACGCCTGCCCGGCTTATCTCCACAGCCCCAGTTCTGCAGAGGAATTTCCTTAAAAGCACACAGGTTACCCATTATTTAGGACACACAGTAGTACCTTTCCACATATATAATATTTCAGTGTTTAAGCTTCAACTCGATGTGTAACTTCATTAACCAATATTCAAACCACCACTCGATACACCTCAGTATGTAGAATAATTCGACGCGTCAAATACCAACAATTTGACGCATCAAATAAGCTTGTAATACACATCAAATTAGGTGTTAAACGTGTTAAAGGTTGTATAGAGGATTTTTTAAGGGAAGAGAAATACAGAGACAGTCCTTTTTCAAATGTTGTGCGTGTGTGACACCACCTCCCTCCTCCACAGCTCCTTCAGTAGAAACATCTCCTCCCGCCTCTTTACTCTAGAAATCACGCTTGTTTACAGCCAGTGCGCGTTCAGAATTATTGTTGAAGTGACCTGTCTAGAAATAATTTAGTGACCGACGCGTCAGTTTTTAGACCGTTCGTCTGCTTCATTCGCGTAATCGCTGGACGAGATCTCCAAGAATCACCTCAGTTTGTCTTCGCTCCTTTTCTCCTTCTCTTCTTCTTCTTTCAGCGACCTCAAAAACGGACTTTCTTTGGCAGCGAACCAGTCGTGGATTCTCGTCCGCCATCGCTACAAACTTTGTGCGAACTGCGAGGAAGCGACAGTTTGAAAAACCCGCTAAGAACCGCCGCATAAACCACATAATCCCCGCGCACTGACGAGTCCGTTACACTAGAAACGTAAGAAGTTTGATTGACAACCTAACAGCCAATAGAAAATGAGGTAGCCTTGTTTTCTATTGGCCTCAACACGTCCACAGTTGATAGATTTTCATTGTTTTTTTGTTTTTTTTGGTCATCATAATTACAAAGCTGCTGCGTCTCTGCAATGGTATTTTAAACTTTCACTGACAATCTGAAACAAAAAAAAAAATCCTCCATACAACCTTTAAATATATGCGTAAATGTGAACAGTTTGGCTTGCCGTAGTACTCAAGTTTTAAACGAGGAAAAGCGGTAATCAATGTTTCCCACAGAAAATTGGTTGGGTAAGTTCGTGGAGATGTGTGTGTGTGTATATCACAGACCGACATGCAGATCGTGACAAGTCGACCCCCCAAAAAAAGTCTTGACTCAGTCTTTGGGAAACGCTGTGATATTGGAGCTTTAAACCCACAGAGACGCTGCATGTGCGTTTTTTTTTGTTTTTTTTGTTGTTTTGTTGTTTTGTTTGGGGCGTAACAGAACCTTCTAACACAGGTGACGTTTGGGGTAGAGGAGGAAGAGACGCCGTTTTGGGTTCCTCAGGTTTGTGTGTGTGTGTGTGTGTGTGTGTGTGTGTGTGCGTGAGGCTAACAGTGTGGAGTGCTGCACTAACAAGTCACTGGGGGCGGGGCTTATTCATGTACTAATGTCGACGCACGTGTTCACCGGGCACCGCACACAGGAGCACCGAGGTAACGCTCAGAAACGACAACGGGAAAACACTGCACACACGGGCTGGTTAAACGTGCACTAGTTGGGAGGGAATCTCTGAAAAGTTTTTGATTTTTGGCAGGATGTCAGGTAGAGATGCATCAAGAATCTCGGACTTCCGGTCATTTCGCAATTCATACTGAGAAGGATCCTGTGAAAAAGTGAACATTAAACCTCCATGTTTGTTTTCCCAGTGGGATGTGTCTGTTGACAAAGTCGATCTTTTCAAGTCTTTTGAACCATTTCACTTTTGTTTCTGGTTCTGATATTGTCATATTTTAGTTTCAGGATTCGGACATCGTAATTGTTGTGGTTGTTGGATCCTAACAGCAGAAAACGACTCGAGAAATGTGTTTGTGAACTTCATAAATGCAAAAGTGAATCAGATGTGTGTGACTCAAACCTCCGTTCAAACTGTTTCTCTTCCCAACGGAATTGAAAAATAGTGAAAGGTGAAGGTGATGGGCAGGATTGATCCACAGGAAGAACCAAAAAGGAAACATTTGTCTGACTAAGAAATCCTCCCGAGTTTACAGAGAACATTTTGTATGTGGAGCGACGACAAAACAAAATCCTGATCCATTGTTTAACCTCGTTTATGAATTTTAAAAGTCGACACCAAAGTGAAAGTTTCCAACTGTTCACCAAGAAACACCTTCCACTGCAAAGACCAAGACGTGATGTTTGTGTAAAACCACAAGAACAAGAAAGTGCAGCTCAGTCTGTTTGTCTTCTGCTCCTCTACATTAACAAACGGGATTTTGTTTTGTCGTCGCTCCACATACAAAATGTTCTCTGTAAACTCAGGATGATTTCTTAGTCAGACAAATGTTTCCTTTTTGGTTCTTCCTGTGGATCAATCCTGCCCATCACCTTCACCTTTCACTATTTTTCAATTCTGTTGGGAAGAGAAACAGTTTGAACGGAGGTTTGAGTCACACACATCTGATTCACTTTCTGCTGTTCGGATCCGACAACCACACAATTACGACGTCCGAATCCCAAAACTAAAATATGACAATATCAGAACCAGAAACAAAAGTGAAATGGTTCAAAAGACTTGAAAAGATCGACTTTGACAATAGACACGTCCCACTGGGAAAACAAACATGGAGGTTTGATGATCATTTCTTCGGAAAATCTTTCCCAGTATGAAATGCGCGATGACCGGAAGTCTGAGATTCTTTGAGATTCCGGGTCCCGTCTCTCTGTCTCAAAAGTCCAAGTTTAGTCCAAGATTAGACCGGGTTTAGTCACAAAATCGAAAAATGAAAAAAAAAAAAACGAATCATTATCTGTTTTGTTTTTTTTATTTTGGTTTTGGAGACAATGAAGAAAATATATATATGTATTTTTTTCTTATTTCTGGTTTTATTTTGAAAAACGACTGAACAAATGACACAGGAGCTTTGTTTCTTTCTCGTCCGTTGTTCCTTCGTCCGGTTCCTGTAAACGTTCGTCTTTACCTCAGAGTCTCTGTTTCCTTTTGTCCGTGTGCTGTGCTTTTTTGTTTCTTCATAACTCTAGTTTTAATGGGGGTTTTTTTCGTGCTCCTCAGAATGAGACTGAACGGCTGCAGGGTCAGTTGGCCAACGCGAGGAGCCAACAGAGCCGAGACGCCGAGAAACACCAGCTCCTCGTGTCCAGCCTCAACCAGCAGCTCAAAGGGTGAGAGCTCGAGCATGTGTCCACTCAGGAAACTCTTCTCTTAAATCACAGAAATACACTCACACGTTTATGAAGGCGAAGAGTTTAATTATGAGTAGGGCTGGGCAAAAATAAAAAAATATTAATCGCATTAATCGCATGAGTTTGAGTGCAATTAATCATGATTAATCGTGTCACTTCTCCCTCTTATTGTGCTTTTTTTTGTCAGACTGAGTGAGACGCAGGAGACTCTGGAGACGTCGCTGCTGGAGAAGGAAACGTCTTTGGCCCAAACCTCCGAGAAGCTGGAGGTGATAAACGGCCTGAAGGGGGCGCTGAGAGAGAGCGAGGAGCAGAGCCGAGAGCTGAGCGAGCGCCTCACTCACACACAGCACAATGTGAGACTCTTCACTCACACGTCACTCACACTACTTTTCATCTTCTATTTTATTTATTATGATTATTTTATGTATTATTAAAAATGTATTTGAATTATCACTCGTCACTCAGAGCGTTTGGTTGCAGTCAAATGAAGCTCATCGAGGCCAACAGATACAGTCGCTCATCTGTAACCAGGGATCATATTTAAAATCCAAGAGCAAAACTGAAGAGCCAATCAGGAGCGAGGCTGTTAAAGGGACACGCCCCTTTCCGCTGTCAGTCAAACCTGTCACTAACGCGAGTGACCTCAGGGAAATCTTATGTTCATCAGACGTTTTTACTTGAGTATTTTCCTGAGATCTGTAGTCTACTTTCTCTGAAGTAACAAAACTGAACGCTCCCACTGTTTGTGACGATGTCACTGCAGGAGAAACAACGGTTTATTTAAAGTGTTGTAAAGTCTTGGACGGTTATCGTCCTACTGGGAAAATACCTCAGAGCAGATGAGGCCGGAGCAGCAGAGGCGACAAAACGAGGATCAGAAAGACTCAAACATCTGTAGAAATAATATAATCCAGCACCAGGACAACAACTGTGTGTGACGGTCCTCTGTGTGTGTGTGACGGTCCTCTGTGTGTGTGACGGTCCTCTGTGTGCCCTCTGTGTGTGTGACGGTCCTCTGTGTGTGTGACGGTCCTCTGTGTGCGTGACGGTCCTCTGTGTGCGTGTGTGTGCGTGACGGTCCTCTGTGTGCGTGTGTGTGTGACGGTCCTCTGTGTGTGACGTACACGGTCCTCTGTGTGCGGTCCTCTGTGTGCGGTGTGTGTGTGACAGTCCTCTGTGTGTGTGACAGGTCCTCTGTGTGTGGTGTGTGTGTGTCCTGTGTGTGTGTGACAGTCCTCTGTGTGTGTGACGGTCCTCTGTGTGTGTGTGTGTGTGTGTGACGGTCCTCTGTGTGTCCTCTGTGTGTGTGACAGTCCTCTGTGTGTGTGACAGTCCTCTGTGTGTGTGACAGTCCTCTGTGTGTGTGTGACAGTCCTCTGTGTGTGTGTGTGTGTGTGACAGTCCTCTCTGTGTGTGTGTGTGTGTGACAGTCCTCTCCTCTGTGTGTGTGTGTGACAGTCCTCTGTGTGTGTGTGACAGTCCTCTGTGTGTGTGACAGTCCTCTGTGTGTGTGTATGTGTGTGTGTGTGACAGTCCTCTCTGTGTGTATGTGTGTGTGACAGTCTGTGTGTGTATGTGTGTGTGTGTGACAGTCCTCTGTGTGTGTGTATGTGTGTGTGACAGTCTCTCTGTGTGTGTGACAGTCCTCTGTGTGTGTGTGACAGTCCTCTGTGTGTGTGTGACAGTCCTCTGTGTGTGTGTGACAGTCCTCTGTGTGTGTGTGTGATGTGTGTGACAGTCCTCTGTGTGTGTGTATGTGTGTGTGTGTGTGACAGTCCTCTCTGTGTGTATGTGTGTGTGACAGTCTGTGTGTGTGTGTATGTGTGTGTGACAGTCCTCGGTGTGTGTGTGTGACAGTCCTCTGTGTGTGTGACAGTCCTCTGTGTGTGTGTGACAGTCCTCTGTGTGTGTGTATGTGTGTGTGTGTGACAGTCCTCTCTGTGTGTGTGTGTGTGTGTGTGTGTGACAGTCTGTGTGTGTGTGTATGTGTGTGTGACAGTCTGTGTGTGTGTGTATGTGTGTGTGACAGTCCTCTGTGTGTGTCCTCTGTCTTCTTGTCTCTGCACTCGCACTCGTTTTTGATAAAAACATCAGCAGTTTTGTTTTTGTCTAAACGAAATGTGCTGAAGTTCACTTTTATTTAATGTTTTGTATCAGACACAGGAGAGTTTAAATCAGCGTCTCAGTGTAAATCAGCGTCTCAGTGTAAATCAGCGTCTCAGTGTAAATCAGCGTCTCAGTTTAAATCAGCGTCTCAGTTTAAATCAGTCTCAAATCAGCGTCTCAGTGTAAATCAGCGTCTCAGTTTAAATCAGCGTCTCAGTTTAAATCAGCGTCTCAGTGTAAATCAGCGTCTCAGTGTAAATCAGCGTCTCAGTGTAAATCAGCGTCTCAGTTTAAATCAGCGTCTCAGTGTAAATCAGCGTCTCAGTGTAAATCAGCGTCTCAGTGTAAATCAGCGTCTCAGTGTAAATCAGCGTCTCAGTGTAAATCAGCGTCTCAGTGTAAATCAGCGTCTCAGTGTAAATCAGCGTCTCAGTGTAAATCAGCGTCTCAGTGTAAATCAGCGTCTCAGTGTAAATCAGCGTCTCAGTGTAAATCAGCGTCTCAGTTTAAATCAGCGTCTCAGTGTTAAATCAGCGTCTCAGTGTAAATCAGCGTCTCAGTGTAAATCAGCGTCTCAGTGTAAATCAGCGTCTGTGTTTCTCTGGAGTAAACAAGAACACGTGAGTCATGTGACGTGACTGTGGTGCGTTCAGGGACAGGACGACGTCACAGATAAATCCTGATGCGGCGCCACATATCAGGACGTTTATCTGTCTGTCAATTGTGCACATATCGGACGATAACATCAGATATATCGGTCGGGCCCTAATCCACGGCACAAAAGGGTTTAGTCCATGTTTGGTGTTGTGCGTTTCTTCGTGTAAATGAGATGTTTGTCGTGTCTGGTTCACAGTTGGAGGAGGTGTTGAAGAAGTGCAGCGTCTCGGAGCAGCGGTGTTCTGCGCTGAAGAACGAAGTGGGAGATTTAACACAAAAACTCTGCGTCCTCAAAGAGAAGGTACAGCTCTGTTCACACTTGTAAAGGTTTTAGAGGAACATTCACTCGTGTATGAGCAAAAAGTAAAAGGCATCAAAACCTGCCTGAAGAGGTTTTAGAGTCAGCCCTGCATGTCTGAGTCATCTAGTGATCTCTCCCAGGCCTGGTCACTGTTCTAATGTCGCTTCCTCGTCACAATCAGACCTGGAGTTTTGTTTTTTTGTTTCATTCACACACGTTTAACACACAAACCCTGAACATTTAGGCTGAGTTCCTCTGTCAAACTGAAAACACTCTGTTCCACCTTGTGATGTCATCATGTGGTACTACAGGACTGTGTTTTTAAACTCCATGCACCAAAATCACTAAAATCAGTTGGATCATTTCACACCTGGAATTGAAAATCTCTACGGCGCCGAAGTTAAAATCAGCAGTTAAAATCAGCAGTTAAAGGTTGCATGGAGGATTTTTTTTTTTTTTTTTGTGTCAAATTGTCAGTGAAATTTTAAAATACCATTGCAGAGAAGTAGCAGCCTTGTGATTATTTTGACCAAAAAAAAAAAAGAATGAAAATCTATCAACTGTGGACGTAGTGAGGCCAGATAAACATCAGCCAATAGATAATGAGGCTACCTCATTTTCTATTGGCTGTTAGGTTGTCAGTGAAACTCCCTATGTTCCTAGTGTGACTGACTTGTTGGCTCGCAGGGGTTATGTGGTTTATGAGGCGGTTCTTTCAAACTGTAGCTTCCTCACAGTTCGCACAAAGTTTGTTGCGACGGCGGACGAGAATCCACGACCAGTTCGCCGCAAAAGAAAGTCCGTTTTTGAGGTCGCTGAAAGAAGAAGAGAAGGGGAAAAGGAGCAAAGCCAAACTGAGGTGATTCTTGGGCTACGTTCAGACTGCAGGGCTTAATGCTCAATTCCGATTTTTTTGTGAAATCCGATGTTTTTGCGAGGTCGTTCACATTTCCAATTAAATGCGACTTGTCTGTGACTTCAGTGTGAACGGTAAACGGCCCGAAAGTGTCCCACATGTGACACTGGAGGACAGGATGACGTCAACCGCATGCGTCAACCGCAGCGTGCTCTGTGTTTACGGAAGTTGTCCAAATATGGTCGCGAGCATTGAGCACCTGGAGATTTTACAGTTCCGGTTTCTGCCTGCTTCAGCGCAGAATAGTGACGTTTGTCGCTTGTTAATGACGTGTAGGTGGGATGGATGCGCTTTGGCCGTTCAGACTGAAGTCGCATGTCAAAAGATCAGATATGTATCGGATTCAGGAGCACATATCCAAGTGTCCTGGGTCGCATTTGAAAAATTCGGATCTGTGCCGTTCAGACGTCATTAATAGATCGGATACAGGAACATAGAAGCCAAAAAATCGGATTTGGGTCACTTCAGGCTGCAGTCTGAACGCAGCCTTGGAGATCTCTTCCAACGATTGCACGAATGAAGCAGAATAAAAGTCTAAAAACGGATGTGTTGATCGCTAAATTATTTCTAGACAGGTCACTTCAACGGTAATTCTGAACGCGGCTGTAAACAAATGTGATTTCTAGAGTAAGGAGATGGGAGGAGGTGTTTCTACTGAGGAAGCTGTGCAGGAGGAAGATGGTGTCACAAATGCACAACATTTGAAAAAGGACTGTCGCTGTATTTCTTTTCCCTTAAAAAAATCCTCTATACAACCTTTAACATGAAAACTAGCACTTCATGACATCACCGGGGGGAACAGAGCGCTTTGAGCTTTGGAGATGTGGACAGACAAATAATAAAGATTTACCCCGAATTCACACCAGGAGCTGCAGCGGCGCAAATCACATTTTGTATTTGCTTTTTGTTCTTAACACGTGTAGTTGTTTTTATTTTATCTGTGTGTTAAGTGTTTTGTGAATTAGATCTGCAGAACACGTTTAACATGATTATGACTGATTTTATTGTTATTATATCTACTAAGCTACATTTCTACTTCATCTTGTATTTGTGGTTTAATGAGGGTTAAATCTATTAACACGCACAGAAAACACCTCAGTTTTTTTCCTAATAAGGTGAATTTATCTTTAATTAACAAACATTGTGAGTGTGATTCAAACCTTCTGTACGTGCAGGAAATAAAGACGATTTATATGTCGATACAGAATCCTGAACCGACGGATACGGACAATTATTTGCCGAAACGGGCGAGTTTTAACGTTCTGGAATTTTACGGGCGGATCAGGACTAAACCAGGATTAAACCAGGACTAAACCAGGACTAAACCAGGACTAAACCAGGAATACATCAGGACTAAACCGGGTCTAAACCAGGACTAAACCCAGGACTAAACCAGGCCTAAACCAGGACTAAACCAGGACTACATCAGGACTAAACCGGGTCTAAACCAGGTCTAAACCAGGTCTAAACCAGGACTAAACCAGGAATAAACCGGGTCTAAACCAGGTCTAAACCAGGTCTACATCAGGACTAAACCGGGTCTAAACCGGGTCTAAACCAGGACTAAACCGGGACTAAACCGGGTCTAAACCAGGACTAAACCAGGACTAAACCAGGACTAAACCAGGACTAAACCCAGGACTAAACCCAGGACTAAACCAGGACTAAACCAGGACTAAACCAAGTCTAAACCAAGTCTAAACCAGGCCTAAACCAGGCCTAAACCAGGCCTAAACCAGGACTAAACCCAGGACTAAACCAGGACTAAACCCAGGACTAAACCCAGGACTAAACGCAGGACTAAACCAGGACTAAACCAGGCCTAAACCAGGCCTAAACCAGGCCTAAACCAGGCCTAAACCAGGACTAAACCAGGACTAAACCAGGACTAAACCAGGACTAAACCAGGACTAAACCAGGACTAATCTTAGAGGGAGAGACCCCGAGGAGCAGGACGTCCGAAAAGCGCAATCGGGCGATGGCTTCACATACCTCCACGGTGCATGGAGCTCTGAGCCGACATCCCGACATTGAGTCTCGGTTCAGTCCTGGTTTAGTCCCACCTTAGTCCCGAGTCCCTGTAAAATTGTTGTCTGACATCGTAAACGACGTTATATTTCTCCACTCTGAGGATTAACTTTTCGTGGTCCATCATGAATCCTTTCCTCATTGTTTACGTCTTTGTCTTGACTTTGGTTAACTTATTTTGAAAGGGCATCGGAAGTTTATTTCCTTTCGCGTGTTTATTTCCTGTCTTAAAAACCTTGGAGACGCTGCAAAATTAGAACTCCATCCTCAGTGTCAGACGCTCGTTGGACGTGTGTGACTCTGTCGGTGTGAACTGTCAGACTGGTTCACATGGAAAGATAAACCTGTGCGTCTGCCGCTCGTGCGGCTGCCGCTCGTGCTGCTGCTGCGCTTTGGTGTGAACTGGGAGTAACTCAAACATGTGAATGAATCAAAACACAACTCCAGGTCTGTTTTTGAGGAGGAAGCAGCATTTTAACCTGGTTTAAAGCTCACGAGAGTTAATTTTGCGCATAATAGGACCTTAAATGTCAAATTAATCAACAACTTTATTAATCCCAAAGGGAAATTCAGTTGGCACATCTCTGGTCACGCACAATATATAAATATAAATAATAAAGAAAAAGAAAGACACCAGACGTTCGAACCACAGAGCGTCAGGGACACAGGAACAAATTCACATTCCATTTAAAATCCTTATGGCAGAAGGAATAAAAGATTTGGTGTAGCGGTTGGTCTTTTGCTATGGGGTGACATAGCGCCTCCCAGAGGGCATCTTCACGAACTGTGAATGCAGGACATGGTTAGTCTGGCTCAGTGTGGCCTTAGTCTTTTGTAACACCCAATGTCTCCTCACAGACTCCAAATCCTCCGTCTGAACACCACTGATTTTGCTGCAAACTTTTACAGTCTGGTTCAGACTGTTCTTGTCTTTCACAGATAATCCATAAAACCAACAGATAAAAGAAAAGGTCAGCAAACTTTCAATAAAAGAATGATAAAAATTATTTAAAATATTAGACGATCCATTAAAAGAGCCGAGCTTCCACATCAAGTGAACCCGCTGCTGTCCTCGTTTGACGATGTGCTCAGTGTTCTTATCAAACCTTAGAGAGGAATCAAACACAGCTCCCAAGTACTTATAAAACACTTCAAAAACACTTCGTATCATTTTTTTATAATTCTTCCCGTGTGTTTTTCTTTCTTTTTTTTCAGGCTCAAAAACAGGAGTCCACGATCGAGACTTTACAAACCGAACTGGACCAGACCAACGAGGAGCTGGACAAATTAAACTCCGCTCACCTGGAGGAGCGAGCGCAACTCATCCACGACCTCCAAACGTGCGAACGCGAAATCGACAATCTCAAAGACGCGCTGAGCGAAAGAGACAAAGAAATCGCGACCCTCACCGCCAACATGACGGAGTACGCCGACCAGATCGCCGAGCTGAAGCAGGAGATCAGGCTCAAAGAACAGAGTCTGGTCCAGGTCGAAAACGCGCTGCAGAAGTCCGAGCGAGACGCCATGGTTCTGAGAGAATCGCAAACGTCGGACCAGCAAGTTTTGAATTCTAAAATATCGGAAATGGTCGAGAAGATTAAGGAATTTGAGGTGGAACTGAGCAAAACGAAAGATGAGAGAGACGCGAAAGGAGCGGAAGTAGAGCAGCTGGTTAAACAAGCCGATAAAGACAAGAAACTGATCCAAGAATTAAGATCAGATGTTCAAAAGCAAACGAACAGTCACCGCAACCATCTCTCTGAATGTGAAACGCACATCAACTCACTTAAGGAGCAATTAACATCTGCTCATGATAAGTTAAACGAGGAGATTTCAAAGTTGAATTCCAGTCAAGGAACGCTGCAACAGAAAGAGGAAATGTGGGAAAATGAGTTAAAATCCTACAAAGACGAAAATAATTCACTTTTAGCCCAAGTGGACAAGTTTAACTCAGAAATTAAAACTCTCAGTGACGATTTTAAGGCAAAACTTGAGATTATAACGACGCTCGAGAGAAGAATCGACGAGGAAAGGACAAAATATAATTCAAAATTGCAAGAACGGGATTCGGAAAACCTGAAGATGAAAAGCGAACTGCAGAGTAAGTCGGAAAACATGTCCAAACTGAAAAACGCATTGAAGAATTTGAAAGCAGAAAAGGGTCAGCTGCAAGAAAAGATGACGAGCTTGAATCAGGAGTTTGATTTGGACAAACAAAAGTTAAATCGGGAAATTCAAGATCTCAGAGAAATTAAATCTAAGCTTGAAAACGAAATCGCGCTGCATCTTGGAGCAATATCGGAGCTCAACAACGAAAAAGTCGGTTTAAACGCGAAAATAACCCAACTCGATGCAGCAAACTTGGAAAACGCAGGAACTATTGAAACATTACGAAAGGAAAACGAGGATCTTAGAATTCAGACAGGCGATTTGAACAAAGTTTTGGAGCAGAGCACGCATTCGAATTCCGAAATTTTACTCGCCAAAACGAACGAGTGCACCCACCTCAGCCAGGTGCTACGAGAGAAGGAGGAGGAGATGGCGAGACTGCGAGATAAAGTGGACGGTTTGAGTTCTAAAGTTGGGAATCTCGAGCGCGAGCTGACCGAGAAAGACGGCTGCATTTCTGAACTTAGAAGCAATTTGGATGAGCTGCAGAACCGGAGGAAGCAACTCGAAGAATCCCTGTCCAAAATGGAGCAACAAGAAGAACATGTCAGATCGGAATTGTGTCAAAAAGACGCCGTTTTGACAGAAAAGCACGCCGAAAGTTTGAAATTCTCGAACGAAATCGCGAACCTGCAGAATGTTATATCTAAGCTAGAAGGCGACAACGACTCAGTCAATTTGGAAAACGCAAATTTTCGCAAACGGATCCACGAAAAGTGCGAGGAATTCCAAAACTTGACCACACAATTCCGGAAGCAGAAAGAAGAGTTGGACAATGCGAATGGTTTAGTGCAATCTCTCCAGTCCCAAGTTGGTTCGATGGAGGAGGATTCAAGAAAACTGCAGTCGGAACTTGAAACCAGCAGAGCAGAATGTGTGAATTTGCAAAAACATATGGAATCAACGATGGCTGAAAACCGGAATCTCTCCAGCAACGTGGAATCCAAAGACGCAGAGCTTGCCCAGGCCGCTGAACGACACGCGAACCTAACCGCGCAAGTCGGCAAACTCGTGGAAGACAATAAAAGACTTGAACAAGACTTAGAGCGAAACTCGAGAGAAATCGATGCGCTTAAAAATGAGCGAAGTTCATTACAAGAGCAGGTTTTGAGCGATAAAACGGTTATCGAAGGGCTGGTGAAGGAAAAAGACGACATCACGTTAACCATCGTGAAGCTGAACAAGGCACTGAACGAAAACGAAATCTTGAATTCTGAGAAAACGAACGAATGCGTGAATTTGCTGAGAGAGAAAGAAGAATTTGCGCAGGGTTTACAAAAAGAAATCGGCGAATTAAAAACGGAAATTGATCGATTAAACGGCGCTCTGTCAGAATCCAAGGACCAGCAGCTGCAGGTGGAAGATACGGTTTCGATGCTGCGAGAACAAGGCGCCGCTCTGAAGTCCGCGCTGATGGAGAAAGACGCGATGCTGACCCAGAAAACGGACGAAATCAAGCGACAAAACGAAGTTATTTCGACGATGCAGAAAGATCTAGATTCGCTTCGTGAAGAGAGTCGGCAAAAGACGAGAGACATCGAGCAAAAAGAGCTGAGTTTAACTGAAATGAGCAAAGAACTACAACACCACAAAGACGAGTTGGACAAAAGGAACGAGTCTGTTTTGACGCTGAGCAGCCAGCTGGGCGTCATGAACGAGAACGCGGTCGAGATGGAATCAGAGTTGAATAACTTGAAAGCAACGATGGAAAAACTAGCTTCCGAAAACGCGCAACTGGTCCAAGACGCAGAGCGAAACAAAACGAAGCTGGTTGATTTCGAAGATGGCGTCCAAGTTTTGAAGGAGCAAAATTCAAGCTTGAAAACTGAACTGCTGAAAAACGTAAATGAGCTGGAGACGCTGAAGGCGGAAATAGCGAATTATCGAGCGGCAGTGAAAGAAAGCGAGACTAAAATGACGTCTTTATCAGATGAGCTTAAGTTGGAAAGAGAGAGGCTTAGTCAGACAGAGCAGGGCAACGAGGAGACGCTCAAACAAAAGCAAGATCTGGTTCAGAATCTAAACACTAAAGTTACTGAGCAGCAACGTGAGTTACAACAGAGGAACAGTGAGAATGAGAAACTGGTAGCGCAAGTTTTAGAATTTCAAAAAACAGTTCAGAATCTTACCTCGGAATCACAATTACTGAAAGCGTCTTTGGAACAGAAGGAAAAATCAAGTCTGGAATTGGAAAACGCGTCTTCTGCAACAGTCAAGAAGCTGAGTTCAAATCTGCAAAACAAAACGGTTGAATGCGAAAGCTTAAAAGAACGGATTTCCAGTTTGGAGGAGGCGACGAGAAAGCTTCAGGAAAGTCTCCAGGGGCAAGTTTCCGAAACGCAAAAACTGCAAAAAGCGTTGGGAGAGAAGGAGGCCGTTTTAGCCGAGCAATCCAAAAACATCCGGATGAGAGAAGACGAAGCGTTGATGTATAAATCGCAGTTCGTGGAAAGCACAGAGTTGGTGTCAAAGTTGCAAAGCGAATGTGGGAACTTGAGAAAGGAATCTGAAGAAATTCAAAGTGCCTTTAAAAATCTGCAAGACAAATACGCTGCACACTTAGAGGAGCTACGAAGCGTCAAAGATCTACTGTCACAAAAAGATGACGCTGTTCTTAGTTTGCAAAAGTTACTCGAAAACGGATCGAGTGAACAACAAAATGCTCAAAGTACGATAGAAAAACTAAAAAACGAGTTGGCGGACGTCTATAAACAGCTAGAAAACGCGCAAAAGGCCGGCGCCGCGCTGGTCGAGGAGAAGGACGCGGCGCTCGCATCGCATCAGGAGAACGTGGAGAGGCTCACCGTGGAGGTAGACAGGCTGAAGTCGCAGCACGTTCAGGTGGTGACCCAGATGGACGCGCTGACCGGCAACATCGAGCAGCGGGAGATGGCGCTGCACGCGATCAACAACCAGTACGCGGCGCAGGCCAAGCACGCGGCGCAGCTGGTGGCGCAGATTCAGATTCTGGAGGAGCAGAACACCAAAGAAAAGGAGGCCTTCGGCAAGGAGAACGCGAAGCTGCAAGACCGGGTTAGGAAACTCGTCCAGGAGAAGGAGGAGTTGTTGACGAAACGGAAAGAAGCCGAGGAAAGTAAAACGCAAAAGGAGCGAGAGTCGAGCGACGCGGTGAAGAGGCTGACGGCCGAGAACGAGACCCTGCAAGCTAAGGTCAGTGCACAGAACGACGACGTGGTAAAACTGAAAGAAAATATTGTTAAGCTAGAACAAATTTTGCAAGATTCTGAGAAAGAGTGGCTTCTAGTTTTAGAGAAAGAAAAGCAAGATAAGAACTTGATGGCAGAGGAGCTAAAATGTGTTGAAAATGAGATTAAGTGTAAGGACGTTAAAGTTACCGCGTTGAAAGAGGACTTGGATAGTTTGCAAGAGAAGCTGGCGGAGGCGGCGCTGGCGGTGAAGCAAGGGTCAGAGCGACTTGTAGCTACAGAACAAGAAGCAGCCGCATCAAAAAAGCAGCTAGAAAACGTCTTAGCTTTGATACAAGAAAAAGACGACGTTAATAATCATTTACAGCAGATGTTTGAGAGTGTCGAAGGTGAGTTGCGGAGACTGACCAACAGAAGCGACAAAAACGACGATCCGAAAGAGAAGAGCGCGTATTTACTCGGTTTGGTTAAAGATTTGGAGCAAAGTTACACTTGTGAAATTGATGCCTTAAAGAGGACTCTGGACGACACGACGGAGAAGTTGAAAAATACAGAAAGCAACGTTGAAAAGGGCGATTTTGAGAAGGGTCAGCAGATTAACGTACTGCAAGAATCGCTAAACCAAGTGCAAAGACGACTCGACGGCGAAGCGGAGAAGGTCCGAGAAGCCGCGGAGAAGTACGCATTGCTGTATCGGGACGTGAAAGCAAAAGACGAACATATAAACCGATTGGAAGTCCAGATTACGCAACAACAAGAGCTACTCGCGGCTCTAAGTCAACAACTGAAGGAGAAAGACGTGTCCATCGCACAAGTTATCGAATCGGCTGCGAACGAAAGGGTTAAATTTACGGAAGAAATTGCAGATTGGAAAGAACAACTGGAAAAATCGCAAAACGAACTCAGGGCGTCTGCGGAAAAGAGCCAAAGGGAAGCAGATTCAGCAAATTTGGAGACGGATAAAAAGATCGAAGAGTTGAAAACTGAATTGGCGCGAACGACGAAAGAAAGGGACGCGGCGAAGAAGAAATTGCAAGCGGCGCTGGTCGTCCGAAAAGAATTAATGAAGAAAATCGAAACGTACGAAAATGTGGACATTGTTGGTTATAAAAGTGAATTGTCGCAGTTGAGTGAACGGTTGCAGGAGCTGGAAAAACAACTTGAAGAAGGACAGAGAAAATACTGTGAAAATATTGATCAGAAAGACAAAGAAATCCAAGAATTCCAAGCTAAAATAGATGGATTTGAGCTGGAAATACAACATTTAAAGGCAGAGGTGACTAATAAGGAATTATGTCTCTCTGAAAATAATTCCTCAATCCAGCTCCTACAAGCAAATCTCTTAGAAAAGGACAATGTATTTGAACAAGAAAAAAGCAGTTTAATTTGTCAACAAAACATAGAAATCGGAAAACTCGAGACAGAAATCCAAAATTTGAAAACGGCACTAGAAGACAAAGATCAGCGCCTGGTTGACGCAACGCAAAAAGTGGACGCAAATAGTTCCACAATTGAGCAACTTAAAGCGAATCTGACCGAGCTACAGGAAGAAAAACACATCTTGATGCAAAAATCGGAAGAGCTTCAAAGCGAAATCAAAACTGCGTCCGCTGCGTCCGCTTCTGTCGCTGAATTTGAGAGCGAAATGGCCCAGGTGAAGAAAGAGAAAGCCGTGCTGCAAAAGAAGGCGCAGGCGGCGATGTTGGCTCGCAAAGAAACGGTTAAGAAATCGCAGGAAAACGAAAAGAAACTGATGCAAGAGCTCGCGGAGGTGAAGGAGGAATACGGCAAACTCACACAGCAAAACGATGAGCTGAACGCAGCGAGGGAAAACCTGGAACGAAAAGTGGACGAAATTCAGAAATTATCAAACGCGTACCAAACTGAACTTGAAGATTTGAAGCTACAATTTGAGGCGAGAGAAAGTAGTTTGCAAGAAAAGGAAAGCCAATGTCAAAACGAAGTCGCATCGCTGAGACGACAAGCGGAGGAGACGGAGAGAATTGTACAAGAACTGAAATTACAACTTCAAGTAAAAGAAAGTCAGTGCCAAACTTTGTCAAACGAGCAAAGTGAACTCGCGGCGCTGAAAGAAAAAACAGATTCGTCCTTTTCAAACGAACTGGAAGCTTTGAGACGACAAGCGGAGGAGAAAGAGCGGAGTCTGAGCGATTTCCAAACGGCGCTCGACGAGAAGGACGCCCAGTGTGCTTCTTTACGAAACGAACTGCAGCGAGTCAAAGCAAATCTGGACGACGTGTCTTCAACCTGCGCGAACGAACTGCAACTCTCGAAGCGGCAAGTCGAGGAGAGAGAGAGAAGTCTGCGGGAACTTAAAGCGGCGCTTGAAGCTGCAGAAAACCGATGTCAAACTTTGTTAAGCGCGCAAAGTGAACTGGAACGCCTCAAATCGAAAATGGAACACGCGTCTCTTGAAACGGCCAAAAAGGATGAAGATATTGTCGTTTTGAATGAACAGGTTGAAGAACTAAAATCAAGACTTACAAAATCCGAAATCGAACTGGAAAAAGCGCAAAAACAAGCAGGAAAATGTAAAAACTCTGGAAGAACAACTTGAAATCTTGAAACGGCAACAACTGGAAGCGAATGAAGTTGGAAATCAAGAAAATAAAATACTACTGGAAAAATATGACCAGCTAAAAACTGAGCTTGACACGGCACTTTCAGAATCGGAAATGGCGCGTCAAGATTGCAATCGGTTACGGAGGAATTTTGAGATGGAAAAAGAAGAAAAAGAGAGACTGACCGTAGAGACGACTTCGCTCAAGATGCAGCTGGTCGACGCAGAGAAACAAATCGAAAAAATTGAAGAAAGAGCAAACATTGACCTGATAGTAAGTGAAAAAGATGAAGTAATCTCCCAAAAATCCGCTGAAATTTTTGTCATTCAGAAATGCTTAGAAGAAACGCAGCGAGACAGAGAAGTTATCGCCGCAAAACTTGCAGAAACAAGTCAAAATTGTGCGAAATTTTCAAAAGATTTGGAATTGGAGAGACGAGAGAAAGAAAACGCGCTGGGATTATGCGACAGATTTAAACGGGAGACGTCGTTACTCGAGATGCGACTGAACGAGTCCCAAAAGCAGAACGCGGAACTTCAAGAAACGAGCAAGAACAAAGAAGCGGTTGTCTCGGAACTGTCTGAGAAGAAGGAGCTCATAGCGGCGCTTGAAAAACAGCTGGAGGAACAAGTTAGAGTACGTGAGGTTGCAGTTGAGAAACTGAAAATTGAGACGACCGAAGTGCAGAAATCTACCGAAGACTCCGCTAAAATGAAGGAGATGGAAAACAAAATGAGTCAGCTGACAAAAAAACTGCAAGCGGCTTTGTTGTCACGGAAAGAACTCATGAAGGACAATGCAAAACTCAAAGAAGACATGGAATCGCTGTCTTCAAAATATGATGCGAAAGAGGTGGATTTTCAAGCCGTAGAATCGTCAAATTCGAATCTAAAACAACAGAATTCCGACTTGAAAAATTCTCTGGAGATCCTCAGCAAGGAGAACAACGATTCTAAGGTGGAGTTGGAAGCGATTCTTGCTGATAATCGCAGCTTGTCCGCCGCTTGCGAAAGTCTCAAGCAAACAATCGAAAATATTACGCAGCAAAAGCGAGCGTTTTCGTGCCAGCTGGAATCGCTTAAGGATTCGGAAACGGAGGAGCTGACGAAATGGAAAACGAAACATGCGGAATTAAAGCAGGAATACGAGTCGCTGCTGCAGGCGTACGAAAACGTGAGCAGCGAAATGGACAAAATGAGACAAGTTTTGGAAGGAGCGAAGCGCGAACGGCAAGAAGCGCTTCGCAAAAAACATAAACTGGAAATGGATTTGGAAAACTTGGAAAAACAGATTAGAAATATGGAAGAGGAGAATGAGAAGCTGAGAGATGGGATGCAAGGGATTTCTCAGGATAAAATCAGAAGAATTACAGAACTGGAAGAAGACAGTAAAAGAATTGGACGATTAGAAAGCGAAAACACAAGATTTTTGGAGACGATTGAAGATTTTAAGAAAAAAGTCGACACGTTGGAGAAGGAAAAACAGAAGTTGGTTGAAAATCTAAGCGAAGTGAATTCTACTTTGGAAAACCAGCGGCAAGAGGCGAAACTGTACGCGGAAAAGATGCAAAACAAACTGGACGAAGCTTTAGATTTGAACAATTCTCTCACCGTGCGAATCGAAACTCAAAAAACAGAACTGGGCGCTCAGATTGAAATCAACCAAATTCTGCAAAACGAAAAACAAAACTTGATGGAACGAATTGATAGAATACAGAACGACCACGAAGCGGAATTGGCAAACAAAGAGGAGGCCATAAGAGAGTTGAACGAGCTGATCGCCGAACACACAAAAGAGAAGATTAGTTTGAATGAAAAAGTTCGTATCCTTGAAGACGACAAATCCCTTCTGCAGGAGGAGCTGGAGAATGCGCAAGAAACATCAGACAAAGTCAAGAACGAAAATGAATATTTGGAAACGGTTATTCTGAAAAATTCTGAAAAAATCGACGAGCTGACGGAGTCTATAAGTACGATGCAGAGCCAGAGCGCGCAGTTGTCCTCGCAGCTCACGTCAATAAAGGAAATGAGCGACAAAATCAGGCAGGAGAAAGAGCAGGAGCAGATCAAACTGGTGAAAGAATTTGAGGAGAAACTTAAAACGATGCAAAGAGGAAACGAAGGATCCAAAAATGTCAAAAAGGAGCTGCAGGAATTACTGAAAGAAAAGCACCAAGAGATAAATCTGTTGCAGCAGAACTGTATCAAGTCTCAAGAGGTCATACTAAACCTGGAAAGTGAACTCAAAGCGTCCCAATTAAAGTTTGAGCAATCGAGCAAAGACCTTAAACAACATGTTGAAAGGATATCCAACTTAGAAGAGAGAAAAAAGCAGCTTGAAAATGATCTGACGACCTGCAAAAGTCTTTTAAACGACGCAAAAGAGAAGATATCGAGATTTGAGGCTGAGCGCGAGCAGCTAAGAATTCAGCTGGAGCAAAGCAAAAGGAGGGAGCAGGAGAAGCTGTCGAAAAATATCGAAGAAGTTGATTTGTTCGTCGAGAAGAACGTGTTACAGCAGCAAATTTCAGATCTCAAAACGTTAAGCAGCAGCGAGAGCCAAAAGGTGATGGAGTTACAGCGTAAAATTGACTCGCAAGAACTGCAGATGAGCGTTTTAAAACGAGACGCGGAGACGAAGGAGGCGAAACTGAGCGCGCTGGAGTCGGCGGGAAGCGGAGGCGATGCTGCTAAAACGTGGAACGATTTGTACCAAAAAGCACTGAGCGAAAAGGACAACCAACTCCTCGAACAGGGATTCGTCATAAAGCGATTCCTGGAAGAGACGCGATTGAAGGACAAAGAAGTGAACGAGTTACGGGTGGCGAAGTCGAAACTGGAGCGGGCGATAAACGAATACTCAGTGGCGGCCGCTGCGCACCAACGACAGCTGTTTGTGATGAGCGCCAGCAACGCCGAGCTGACCGAAACGCTGGAAACGCTGACGGTGCAGGTGAACGAGCTGACCGCGCAAGTTGAAAGGATGGAGCGGGATAGAAACGCCTTGACCAAACAGGTCGTCGATAAGGAAGATGCGGTTTCTCAAACACAGCTCAAGTTGGAGCAGGTGGAAAAGCTGTACAGCGAAGCCGAAGCACAGTTGAGTTCGTTACAAGCGCAAAATGATAAACTTCAAGTGGAGTTTGACAAGCAAGAAGGTATAACTCAACAGCTGAAGGTTATTCTCCAAAGCAAAAACTCTGAAATCTCGTCTTTACTGTCGTGCAAAGAGGGGCAGATGTCCGGGTACCTGGAACAACTCCAAGCGAACTACCAATCGCAAATGTCCGTGTATGAAGACAGACTGACCTCAGCGCGCTACCAGAAGGAAAAAAACACCAAAGAAATACGAACTCTCGAGGCAAAAGTCAAAAGTCTGCAGATTCAAGTCGGAAAAGCGGTTCAGGAGAAGAACTCCATGGCGGTGAAGATGGAGTCGTTCAAAAACTCGCTGGTCTCTTTGCAAAACGAAAGGGAGAAGCTGATGTCGGAATATAAACTTCTGGAAGCGAAAAGTAAGGTGAGCTTATCGACTAAAACGGGAGGAGAAGGAGGAGCGACCAAAGGTTTGAAACACGAAATTCGGAAGCTTCTGCACCAAATGGACGACTTAAACTCCGAAAACGCGATGCTGAGAGCGCAGCTGGTTCGCTACAGAGAAGACCTGAACCAAGTCCTCTCCTTGAAAGACAACCAGCTGAAAATTTTGCTCAAAAAACAGCAAGATACAATCAAACAACTCGAAAATGACAAGATGGCATCTGAAAAGCAAATCCGAGAAGCCAGATTGGACTCGGAAAAAAGAGAAGAGCTGAACGAGACTTTAAAGACAGAAATTTCCAAACTAAAAAGCCAAATTTCGAAACTGGAGCACGACCGTAAAGAGATGACAACGTCCAACGAAGGGAAAGTGATCGTGGATTTGCAGAACGCGGTCGTGGCGAAATCGGCGGAATGCAACGATCTCCAACAAAAACTTACAACTGAGAAAAACCTGAAAGAGGAATTGAGAACAAAACTGCAAAAAATTGAAAATGAGACTGACAAAAAGCTAGCCGAAGCCGAGGATAAGTACAACGGTGAACTGGATAATTTTGAACGCGAGGTGAATTTGATGCGAAACGAAAAAGAAACGGCCGACCAGAGAGTAGCCGAACTCGCCAAGGATTTACTCGAACTGGAACAACAGCTTTCCGACGCCAAAACGCAAAACGGCGATTTCAAAACGCAAAACGAATCCTTGTGTAAAGCCATGGCCGCTCTGCAGAACGACCGCCACCAGCTCATCGAAGATTTCAAGACCCTGAGAATCCGATACGACGACGAGCTGAGGGAGACCCAAGCGAGTCTGAAGAAGATGGAAAACAAATTTACAGACGCGACCTCGGAGCTGGCCGCTCTCGCGAAACAGCGCGACGTCCTCGTGCACAAACTCAAGGCGTTGGAAAGCAAAGACGTCCAGAACGAGATCAACCGACTAGTGGACGAGCTCGGCAAGGCGCTGTCCGAAAAAGAGGGAGAGGTGACGCGGTTCAAAATGGAGAACGAATCCTGTAATCGCCAGTTGTCCGCTTTTTCCAAGTCCATGGCCAGTCTCCAGAACGACAGGGACCGGCTGGAGGAGGAGCTCGCCGGGGCCAAAAGGGACGCTGCGGCGGCCCCCCCCGTCGACAAAAGCAGTGCCTTACAGCTCGAAAACAAGGGGCTGGTAAGTCCTCGGATTTGGAGGAAAAAAATGTGAGTTTGTTGAGCTTTGCTTGTAGCCTGGTCAACCGCACAGTTCAGAGTGGGTTTAGACTTTCATTACAGCATTATTATGATTATGTTTTCAAACGGTAATAAACGGGGAAGTAACAATATCGAAATCTTGCAATATTAATCTCACAGGAAGATGCTTTTTGTTAGAACAGTATTTTTTCTTTGTGTGGAGTTTGCATGTTCTCCCTGTGTCTGGGTGGGTTTCCTTTTTCCTGCGTGAAGTCGCCCCCGTCAAACGCAAACCGAGACAAAGAAAACTATGTCAGTCCTTTGTGCTGCTTTAGTTTTTGAAAAATTAACGATTATTTTACAGGTCAAAATCGAGTTCACCGCAGCCCCCAGTAAACTTCAAAATGCTCTAAAACGACACAAAATAG